CGAAGTTACGCAGCTAGTTGCTCGGCAGCTGTGCGTCAAGTTCCCATGGGGCTGGACATTGCTGATATTCCACCGCGCTGGCAGTGGATCTCTTACTATGACTGTGCCGTTGACAACGACGAGAACTCGCGCGCTGAATGGTAAGTTCATTGTTCCAAGTCCTGTTCCTCTTTGTACTAACCATTGTATTCGATGTAGGATGGGCTTCAATCCTTACGTCGAGTGCGATCCAGCCACTCACACGAAATACTCGCAGTCTAGTGGTTTGAAGACGCTGATGGACGAATACGCCGAGGTGAAATATGCTCGTCCTCTCATGTTCGGCGAGTTCGGCTGCAACAAGGGTGAGAACACCATCGACGGCTACGAAAACCAGCGCGAGTTCTACGACGTGAGTTTAGCTCGTAGCGTTCGAAGGAATACGATACTGATATCGCATTGATGCGGGCGAAATGGATGAATGAGGAGCCTGAGATGACTGCTGAGATCGTAGGAGGCAACGTGTTCGAGTTCACTACGGAGATCGCCAACTTGGTCGACAAGTCCGGTACGCAAGCCCTACATATCATGGTAATGTACAAGTCTGACTGACGGTACTTGTAGCCCTGGTGAAACCTGCCGACGCTGGCAAATACGGTGTGGGGTATTTCCAACCGGACGACTGCGACCATGACACGACCCCGTGCGAGTTCACGCCCTACCCGACAACCTCAAGAAGGCATACACTACGACCAAGATCTCGACCGTCACGTACGACAGCTACACTCCGTCTCGAACTAAGATCCCAAGTCCATGTCCACGGATCTCCCGCCGATGCCAAATGGTACCGTCTGTCTGTTTAACAACAGGCTGTTGCTGTCAACAGCAACTTGTTCGTCTGCAAATGTTGAAGTTGAGCTAACCAAATGTTCGTGATTCATGAATTGAAGTGGAAATTCTCGAGTGCACCGCGTTGCAGCCTGTGTGCAAGGGCATCACAGCCAACGCGTACGAGCACGTTCCACCCTGATCCAAATTGAACAGGCACGCGCTAAATGGTTTTTAATTGGTTAAAAACACGTGAGTGTAGGGAAAGCGATGCAGGTGGAACAGGTGTGTGGATGAATTCTTGGCATCGACATCGCGCAGACTCAGCCGACAGTTTGCTGCATTTGGCCAGGCACCTCTTCTGTGGTCGTTTTGGTCGCGATTTACAGAGCCGGTTTCTAGAGAATGTAGTGTTCGGCTCCCACCGGTACTCGGCACTGGGCTCTCCTGAGCAAATACCGAGCAGTTTGCTACGGCTGTGCGAACTCGCACTAGTTCGGGTTGGTATGTTGGAATGGCATTGACGCGGCGCAGGCATCATTACACTTGACTATTAAAGCAGGTATTCTAGATTATACATCGTCAATGGGCCCGTTGGTTTTAGGAGTACGATGTCCATAGACTAGGTTGCTGAGCCTACAGGAGGCTCCTGAGGGGTAAAACCAACAGCCTTCGTTGCATTGAGTAGAGTAGTAGTAGCTTAGCGCTAACAGCTAAAGCGAAGGGGGGCGAAACCTAAGTTTCTATTGTAAAACCAAAACCACCCACATTGTACTAAGGGGATCGAGCTGGTTTTAGTTTTACAACTATGTAGCTAGTTGCAGTTTTTTTTTTATCAGAACGGAAAACTCTATTAAAAAATACATAAAATGAAAAATTCGGCCTCGAAAATTTGTATTAGGTGAGATGATATGGACCACACGGTCCAATGATACAAGATATTTAGCATGTTCAACCACTACAATGGTTGAAGGGTCAAGTTCTCTGCCGATTTTTTTCCCCAGGAAGACGCTCTCTTTGTGGTGTATTCAAACTGAAAACACGATGGGGAGCTGGCGAAGCTCCTGGTAGTTGTAGCCTAGTGTATTTGTAGGTAAAAGGCAAAGTGTCTGCTCTTTGAGCTGTCGTGGTCTATATCGTACTAGTTGTTCTGCTCCAATGGTTGGACGTGGGCTGTGTCATCACAAGGCACGTAACGAGTCTTCCGGTCATCATAGATGTCGATACGGTCATCACTGATGCCGATACACCTTGTACATCTTCGTTGATCTTCAGGATCC